TTCTTCTTCTTAATTTCTTATATTTTTTCTTTTTCCTTCTTTAACATTACATGCATATATCTGGTAATGTAAACAATTTGAAGACAACACTATACAATACAACAAATACAGCTGAATTTATTTATTTTAGGAAAGCTCTGGATAATTTCTAATTTTTCTTTTTATTACTATTTTGCTTTCTCTTTAAAAAATAAAAAAGAAGGGCTGGTGAGATGGCTCAGTGGTCTGAGGCACCCACTTAGAACAAGCTAAGCTAAGCAGGGCACAGGGACCACGGTTCAGTTCCCCAGCACCACATGCCAGCCAGCCCTGCCCCCTGGTGGGCTGAGCTGGCCACACACACACAAAATAAATTAATTAAAAAATAAAAAAGAAAATAATTTTTTATGCACTAACTACTTTTCTATCACTAGGAGAAGATACTTGGTACCTGAATGGCACAGTGGTGAGAGCTTTCCATCACATGCTACCCGGGAAGTAGAAGGAAAAAAATGGAGAAACCAAGGATAAGAATACACCCACCCAGCTCAGCCCCCAAGACCTGACTGTGCTGGCCAGGAGCCAGCTCCAAATGCAAGACTTTGGAGGGACAGTTTATTTTTATTTTTTTTCTTTTTTGGCGGAACCGGGGATTGAACTCAGGCCCCTGCACTTGCGAGGGAAGCACTTATTCCACTGAGCCATCTCCCTGGTCCCCTAAATTGAATTTCTAGATTGATTGATTGATTGATTGATTGATTTTTGCGGAACTGGGGATTGAACTCAGGCCCTTGCACTTGCCAGGGAAGCACTTATTCCACCGAGCCATCTCCCCTGGGACAGTTTATATTTAAACCATAACATTCTCCCATCCCACAAAGGCTTACATCCACCTTATTAGGGAAAATTCATTTACTCTATCCCTAAGAGTCACCAAAGTCCACACTTCCAGCATTGCTGAAAAATCCAAATCCAAAGATTCAAGGCAAACTGGGTGTGGTGTCACATGGCTATATCCCACAGAAGGCTGAGGCAGGAGAATTTCTGTGAGTTCAAGGTCAACTTGGACTACATATTGACTACAAGCCCAACCTGACTGAGCTGTAAAAGGCTGAAGTCAACAACTTCTGACATTGCCAGTCCTACAGATAACCCACTACTATTATGGACTGCTGGACTATATTGGAATATTTTGGGGAATTCACATACCTGCAATATTTAAATAGCGATGGAATACCCATCTCTGACAAAACTAAACAAAAAAGGGGATATAAATGAAGGACCATTTTGTATCTGTATATACAAAATAGTTAGGATAGATGTACAACTAGTTTCTCTTAGTTCAATGAGAAGAAAGATTTGTACTGATAGTGTTTGGACAGGATATCATGTCTGCATCTTATAATGTGAATAACTACTACAAAGACAACAATATGCAATGTATTAATTATTGTAACTGTCCTACTAACCTGTTCTGAAACTGTCTCATTGCTATTTGTTTCTCAATAAAATTAATAAAAAAATAAATTCACACACAAAAAAACCAAGCCCAACCTGAACTATGTAATGAGACCGTCTTTTCAAAAAAGACTCAAGGAAAACTCTTAACTCTGAACTGTATAGCAATCAAAAAAATTAAACACTTCCACTGTACCATAATATAGGATAAACATTCCCATTCTGCACATGTACACAGAATTCTTAAAGATATAGGACTAGGTATATTCCTCCTTGCTCCACCTGGTGAGCTGACTTGTGGGCGCAGGCATTCCCTTCTGTTCTTCCAGTAGTGAGGTGCAATGCAGGGGGCCTGTCTTGGCTTAGCGTTGGCATTGCTGGGCTTAGGGTGACTCGGAGCTGATTATAATTTCAAGAAACTATCCTAAATGCCCTAATCCCAAATGTTGAAATCCCTAAAGTTTAAAATATCTAAATTCTGAAATCCTTAAGTTCTATAAAATAAAATAAAACAAAATCCTTAAATTCTATACTCCTGAAAATTAGAATTCTAATAAATTAAAATCTTAAATGTTGAAATCCTGATGTCTGAAATCCCCCAAATGACAATTTCCATAAAAAGTTACGCAAATGGAATAGAAAGCTGACTTCTGGGAAAGGCCTTCACCATGTAATAGACTAATGATGAAATCTAGTTCAAAAATATCTTTTTGGTGAGCATTGGCCTTTCTTGCAGCTAATAAAATTTCAGGAGTTTTTAGTGCACGATAACTACATTTGTGTGAAGACTGTCCCGACTGAAATTTATAAAAGAGGGTCGCTCTTCAATCTTCATACCATCTTGTGTTAAATCTTGGTCTACAGATAAATTTATGTAGAATGGATTTCCAGGTACTTGAAAAAATATAGAGTTTGGCACTTAAGATTGGAAAATTTAATAGGGAATGTTTATATCATTATATATTAAATCACAGAAGAATTTCAAAATATGCAAATAGAAAATGAGCGTGAATGTACTCTTTGAGAATATCAGCTCCTTAAAAAGCAGCTAGTAATCATAATATAAGCCTTAAAAATACATTTAATTTCAATACTTTTGAAGTTATTTTGCTCTCATGGACTATCTCCATGCAATGCCTGGAATATATTCCTATAGTATGCCTTTTTAAATAGTTTAAAATTTTTTTCCCTTTAAATTTGTCAGCATTATTTTTTACAATTTTTATGCTATATATTTCATCTTCACATCAGTTTTTTTGGGGGGGTACCAGGAATCAAACTCAGGACTTCACTCTTGCCAGGCAGTCATTGTGCCACTAAGCTAAATCCCACCCCTCTTTACATCATTTCTAATAATAGAGCTGTGAATTATACAAATACATTTAGGAGTCTTAATTCACTTTATGAATTTTTGTAAACTTGACTTCATGAAAAGTGCAATATTATATTGAATTTGTATTTCAATATTGTGGATGTATGTAGAAGGTCTGAAACTTCAACGAATAGAGGTAGAACCTTTTTGGATATATGCATTTATGAAAGATAAACTTCCTGAGCCTGTGGCACTGTGGATTACTGCATTTCCAGTGGGGCTTCATGGTGGGTTTGACAGTCTCCCTAACTTTCAAATGCTAACAGCTATAAAATTAAGTGTAGGGCTGGTGAGATGGCTCAGTGGTCTAAAGCACCTACTTAGAACAAGCTTAGCAAAGCACAGGGACCGCGGTTCAATCCCCCAGCACCACATGCCAGCCAGCCCCGCCCCCTGGTGGGCTGAGCTGGCCACACACACACACACACACAAATAAATAAATAAATAAAATTTAAAAAAACTAAGTGTACCCAATTACCAACCATAATGATATGCATTTATACATTTCCATAAATGACCTGTTGATTTACTAATATAGTTCATCTGTTAATAGTTTTTACATTTGTGCAACTGTTGTTAATTCACCTGTATTTATGGGTGCAGACGCGATTCCTATTTCATCGTGTAAAGTGGTCCATGAACTGTTCTGCTATATTTTCATGTCTGTCAATATACATCTTTTTGTATAAATCAATATCTTTCAAATAAAAGATGTACTTATGGTGCTGGAGTTACAACCCAAGACCTTGCATATGCTAGGGAAGTACCTGGCCACAAAGCTCCATCTCCAGCCCCTGTATTGGTGTTTTTTACTAAGTGAGTGAATGAGGGTTAATAGTCCCTTTCAGACAAACACTACTTATTTCACACTCTTGATCTTTAATATATTGAAAATTAATAATTTTTCCATAAAAACTCATTTTGTATAAATATGTTTAGGATATGAAATTTTTCTGTTACTTAGACAATTCTCATAGTTTTATTTTATTTTATTTTTTTGTGTAAGCGGGGATTGAACTCAGACCCTTGTGCTTGCCAAGGAAGCGCTTATTCTACTGAGCCATCTCCCTGGCCCCAATTCTCATAGTTTTAAAGAGGTTTACATTTCCATCAAAAGAAATGCCCCACAGATCAGTGCCCATGGAATCAGGACAACATTTATTTCCAGTTGAGGGAGAAAAACATTGTTGTTCAACAGAAGCTTGAAACACTCATCCAAGGTGTTCTGGAGTTGGAAGGGCTTTCTGCTTGCTCCCATCTAAGGAGATTTTCCTTTGGGAACTGGAGTTGCATAGGGCTCAAACACCCACCACTTCCTACAGCACTTTTTGTCTTCACTGCACACACCAATGGTATCGTCTATGGATGTGCATGCGATATGTTTGCACGTTCCTTTCAGCAGAATACACTGCTTCTCTCCTGGGATGACGCCAGCTCTCCCTGCACAGGAAGAAATTTTAGATTCATTAACTCTGGAATTGTTGGAAGTAGTATGTGAAGCTACGGCCCTCCGGAGGATGGCTTCAAGATGTGAGACACAGTCTGCATGGAAAGGCCAGAAACTTCAGCACACGCAGAGCCTTTGTAGGAAGAGGAGCTAGCAGCATGGGACATCCTGCCGCCGCGGAGGGGCAGGCTGACTTCTAAAAGTGTAGAGATGCAGTCACTACATGGGGCAGTGCGTTCTGAAGTGTGTAAGACTGCTGTCACCATTAACGAGGAAGGCGTCTTTGGTATTTAACGGGCAAGGCAGAGCTTTGCTCAGTTTCCTGTGTGATGAGCTGTCCCTTGCCAAATGCCAACCATGCTTCCACTGAGAGGTACTGCTTCAAAGACGTATCCCCCTTTCCATCTCCCATCTGCGCTCGGGTCGTCCTCCCCGGATGGCGCAAGTCCTCATTCCCCTCTCCTTCTGCAGAAACTCTGTCGGCTCTTCACATATCAATGTAACTAACCTCCCTTTTTGAAAGTACACAACAAGGGGCTGGGGAGATGGCTCAGTGGAATAGGCACTTCCCTAGCAAGTGCGAGGGTCTGAGTTCAATCCCGGGTTCCGCCAAAAACAACAACAACAAAACAAATAACTTCCTTGAGTTATTCAATGCCCCTCATGTGTAGATTCACCAGGAAATAGGTCTTCAGAGCTGGAGAGAGTCCTCTTAGAGCTCTAAGAGGACTTTTTTTTTTTTCTAAGTGTATTCATTTTTTAAAAATATTTATTTATTTATTTATTGTGTGTGGCCAGCTCAGTCCACCAGGGGGCGGGGCTGGCTGGCATGTGGTGCTGGGGGATTGAACCGCGGTCCCTGCGCTTTGCTTGGCTTAGCTTGTTCTAAGTAGGAGCTTTAGACCACTGAGTCATCTCACCAGCCCCACTAAGTGTATTCATATGCTTTCCTAATGCATTTGGCTACTGAGGAGCCCAGAGCTAAGTGTGTGCTGCGACTCCATAATTTTCCTTAGCTCCCACCTTCTCCTCTTGCCTGTCCAGCATTCCCCAAAGTCCACCTTTCCACTGGGATGGCAGTGTGCACTACATAAGAGTGACACTCCTCGTGCTTGGCAGCACAAATCAGTTCCTGACTATCCAACCATTTTGATCTCATTTTATTTTTAATATCCTGCAATGGGCCTGGTGAGATGGCTCAGTGGTCTAAAGCACCTACTTAGAACAAGTTTAGCAAAGCACAGGGACCGCGGTTCAATCCCCCAGCACCACATGCCAGCCAGCCCCGCCCCCTGGTGGGCTGAGCTGGCCACACACACACACACACACACACACACACACACACACAAATAAAATAAACAAGAGATACAATTAAAAAAAATCCTGCAATATACTAGCTCTGACTGGCTTCTTTAATGCTTAACTTCCGTGGCTGTACTAACAGTTCAAGGGGCTTTTTTTTTTCTTGCTCTGGAAGTTTTTGTTGTTTTGTAACATTAGATATCATTATTGTTTCTTTACTCTGTAGAAAAATATCCACAGTCTTGTAAGACAGTGAAGACTTTTGGCACTGAATGTCTGTGATCCATGCAAGACTGCTCTACCCTTGACAGAGATATCAACCCAGCCTGGTGGCCTACTCTGCTACCAGGGTAACAGTCTGTAGGCTCAGGGTCTCTATGTGACAAAAGCAATGGAATGATGTAGGAGTTGGACAATATGCTGCGATGCTACCTCTGCTTTTTCTGAACTATTCGGGAAGTGAGAATGGCTGTCTTTCAGGGAAAGAACTGCAGTCTCACCAGCCAGCTGGGGGAGGCCCTGACTCAGCTGCATTTCTAGAATTATTTCTGAGCAGCAGAGGATTTCCTTTTCTTTCTTTCTTTCTTTCTTTCTCTTTTTTTCCCTAAGAGACAACATTAATTTTATTAGCATTTATTTTATGCCTAATTTATTTCCGTGCCATAAGTTTTTGTTTGTTCAGTTTCTTCTGGGATATCTTTTTCTTCTGTGCAACTTCCTCCTCTGGTTTGGGAACAGTTTGTACCTTTTCAGTAAGGATCATCTCAGTATGGCAGGGGGAGCCCATGCACGGATTAATCCGGCCATGAGCTCTATAAGTGCGGGGGTGCATCCTGGGTGCTTTGTTCACCTGGATGTGTTCAATAACCAGAGAATCTACATCTAAACCCTTAAGTTCAGCATTACTCTCTGCATTTTTAAGCATGTGCAGCAAAAATTCAGCACTCTTTTTGGGCCACCAACCCTGTGTCCAGCCCCACTGTTTGGCCTGGGCACACCTGCCAATTCCACCACTGTTACGCCGGAATGACACACATAGCTTTTTTAATGTGACATCCTTGAGATACTTGGTGGCCTTTCGGACATGCATACCCTTGATGGCCTGGGCAGTTTCATGCATGTTCTTAAGTGAACGTGAAGTTTTTTTTTTCCTTTCGGAACCGGGGACTGAACTCAGGCCCTTGCGCTTGCCAGGCAAGCACTTATTCTACTGAGCTAACTCCCCGGCCCCTGAACGTGAAGATTTGAGTCTCTTGATTTGCATGATGTTGTGGGGTTTTCTGGGCTGAGAGAGTAGTGAACCATTTTCACAGGTCACTTGAGGCCGCTCACAGGAAGAGAGCACAGGATTTCTGTTGCCTGCTCTTATTCATTTTTTCTTGGAGTGCAAGAGCAGGAGTGGGGCAAGAGGACAAAACATCACCTCTACAGAGGGAGGGAGGGAGGGAAGGAGGAGGGAGGTAAGAAGAATTAACATTGTTAGGCACATGTTTCAAAACCCGTGATAAATGTAACCACTAGGTATGTCAAGTGAATCTGATTCTGGCAAAACAAAACAGGGGTGGAGGGAAGTGGGATTATATCTGGTAATCTGAGCAACTATGTGGATTGAAAGGATATGTAATGTAACAACCATTGTTAATTTCTTATCATTTTGTTTTAAAATTCTGTATCATTTTATTGTTTCTGTCTTTGTTGTTATTTATATTTGTTGTTTGAAAAAATGAAAAAAAAAGATTGGGGAAAAAGAATTGAGATGTGTATGAATATATACCAATTCTCTACAATGGATGCAATTATTATATTACAAGATGTACATAAATATTAAAAAGCTAAAAATTAAAAATGTATGTTAATATATAGATATATAAAATCATCATTATGAACATGAATATTAAATATTATAAATAAAAACTAGTACATAAAAACACTTAACAGTACATCTGCCCTCTTAAATTTTTAAATCCTACGGATATGATGCACTGTTGATTTCTAGAATATTTTCATCTTGTATAACTGAAATTTTATAGAAAACGCCTCAGTACACTTCCAGTGCCTACCAAGCTTCATTCTGGTATCTGTTTCAGTGAGTTTCACTGTTTTAGTTACTTCATACAAATGGAATTACGCGGCATTTCTCTTCAGTGCCTGGCTAATTGACTTAGCTTAAGGTCCTCCAGGTTTATCATGTTGTCACACAGAGCAGAAAGTCATTTTAGTTTCGTCGGTATCTAGTAGAAGTGTTTGAAGCGAAGGTCTGACAGAAATTAGAGTCGCCATTTTCGTGGGCATTCTCACACTGGTGGGTCGTAGCAATGGTGACGACGCGGATTAGAGATACACGCAGTGCTGTCTTTATCTGTGTGCTGTGATGTGTGTCTAGTTGTCCCCCCAAAGTCTGACGCAGTCATGAGGTGGCTTCTAGAGTTGTGGTTAATTAATGATCCAACACTGGGATTGTGGGTGTGGGTGCCCCACCTGCCCTGGGGTGGATAATCTGCATCACAATGTAAGGAGGGGAGAGAGGCCTCCTGGCTGCTGCAGCCCCTGCCCCTCCCTTTGGCTCTTTGCTGTTTTCTGCTGCCTTGAATGGCTGCCCTCTGCCAGGTGCCACTCTGCCTTGGAGCCAGCTGAGTATGGACTGAAACCTCCACTAACTGTGAGCTAATTCTGGGTGTTGGGTATTTTGTTCCAGCAATGAGGAAAAAGTAACTAAGATGTAGTGTAACTAGCAAAGTTAAATTCCATACGTAGACATAGTTTCTCTTAGGTTAAATGAATGTTTTGACTATTCAAGTGTCTTCTAAACTTAAACAATGACCTGTATCACATGTTATAACAAAGTGTGTTGTACCACAGCTATGTCTTATGACCAAAGCTGAAAATGAAATGAGAATTTCATAAACTTTTTTAAGCAGAAGAAAGCTGTATATCAGTTAGAGTCTAAGATATTCATAAACTAGACAACAGCAAATAATTTCGTTGTACTTCGAATCTCAGATGCGAATCAGTGAAGAAATCCATGTTCAGTGGCCACAGGCATTGTTTGGTAAGTGTGGAACCCTGCCATGGGCAGTGGAGAAAACAACTGTATCAGTTATTACGAGGATATGGGTGAAACATTTATTAGCTTTTAATTTTAATTCTACATTGAAATGTTCAAACATCAGAATTATGGACCCTAAAGATGCAAGTTAGATTATTAAAATTCTTGCTACACTATTTGCCTTAGGATTACAATTTTGCCACTGAAGTTCCATTCTATTTTTCATGTTTTCCCCTGTTTCCTCTGTTACCAAATTTACAGTGATCATTTATTACTGATAACCCTTTTGGAGTTCTGTGTTTTTTTCCTAACTTCCACCTTCACATATATTTCTTACCAAGAGACTCTAGATACACTCATTCTAAATACTGAATCACAACCAGTACCCCCTCATTTTAGTTCTTCTTTTGGATCTCCACTTGATAGATACACACTCTAAATATCAAACCGTAAGCTCTATGTAGCCTCTATTTCTCTAGCTGGACCCTATTTTTAATCATGGAACACTTTGGCCCCATTTTGTATTTGATAAACTCCTTGTCTCTTGAATTTTGACCTCATCTGTTCTAAATGATATATTGGACTTCTGAATATTTAAGTCTTGCATCACTGTATGAATAACACTGCCCAATGAATAATTGTGCATTTTAGTTGGCCTAAGAAACTGGCTTCTCAATCATCTTGCCATCTTACCTTTTGCTAGTATAGTCACCAAGAGGAGGAGCATGGGAAGAAGAGAATAGAATCTCATGGTTCAGGGCCCAGTGGAGCGGTCAGTGCTCAGGCTGGGGAAGCACAGGGCTTTTATCTACTTCTGGGGGCCTGAGGTTCCCCTTGGTCAGTGAAGCTTAACAAGGCAAGGAATAAAACAATGTCTGATGGAATACTTCCAAACCTTGGAGTGTCTAAATTTCATGAAAAATTAACCTAATTACAGGAAGCCAGATGGCTAATCATTTCCTTTTTCTACGGGTTTTCAATTTAATGAGAGGTTAGTACCTTTAGCCAGTTTTCCTTTTGTGCAACTTCTAAAAAATTTATTTCTGTTTTGTCCTAAATTTTTAAATTGGCATATAATATGTGCATCCACTGTTGGGGCATAGTATTGTAATTTAACATATGTGCACACTGTGTACGGATGAAATCTGGATATTACACTTTCGTCTCATCAAGTATTATCATTTTTGTGCGAGGAAACTCCAAACTGTTCTGTTTCAGTTTTTTTTTTTTTTGAACTGTATATTTAATTGTCATATACTACTGTCACTTTCTTATTTATATAGTATAAGAACTTCTCAAAGTCTAGTTGTATTTTTTTCATTTTAATTCTAATTATATTTTGATACCTGTTTTCTGCCTTCTTATTATACCCACCTAATTTGTTCTCTTTTAAACCACCAGTGACATCCATTGTACTCTCTACTTGTATATGACCAACTTATTTACCTTCCAAACATGAGGGAGAACATGCCCTAATTGTCTTTCTTTGCCTATCTTATTTCATTTAATATAATGTTTTTTAGTTACATCCATGTTGTCACAGATGACAAAACATGTTTATTTTTTTATTTTTTTTAAATTTTATTTATTTATTTTTTTTAGGGTTTAACTTTTTTTTTTTGTTTTTTTTTGTTTTTGTTTGTTTTAAAACATGTTTAAAGACCTTTCAAAATCACTATAGAAAAAGACCTAACTAGAGAATTGCTAGTTTGGTAGAGTCTTCACTTTATTGAAAAATATATGGGACCTAACTAGAGAATTGCTAGTTTGGTAGAGTCTTCACTTTATTGAAAAATATATGGGTGTGAAATCAGGTAATATTGTCTTTCTTTGATTGTCTTATACTTTTTAAAATTAGCGTCCACAGTTCTATCCATGTTCCTGTGATAGAATTTTGTCATTTTCAATGCTGGAACAATATTTTAGTGTATATATCTATCACATTAACTTTAGCAATTCATTTGTTGAGAAACACTTCTATTTTCTATCTTGGCTATTGGAATAGTGTTGCAATAAATACAGAAGTATAAGTTTCTTGTTGATTTAATGAACGAATTATCTTTGGAAAAACATACAGTAGTGGGATTGCTGTATGTTATGATGTTTCCACATTTTATTATTGAAGAAATTCAATATACTCTCCAGAGCGGATTTATAAATATATAGTATTTAATATAAATACAATATATTTATATTAAACATTGTAGAAGAGTCCTTGTTCTCTACATTCTTACTCATTATTGCCATTTTTTTGAACTGGTAATTGAACTTGGACCTTGAGCTTGCCAGACAGGCACCATGCCACTGAGCTATAGTTTCAAATACTTATTTATTTATTTAACTTTGTGATAATAACTGTCTTATTGGGGCTAGAAATCTCATTGTGCATTTAATTTGAACATTATTAAAGATTATTGATGTTGAGCACATTTACAACATACTTATCAGCCATTTGTATGTCTTCTTTCTAAGGGATGACATGTGTTTAAACTCAAAATATTGATAATATGGAAATCTCACTTAATTGAAAGAATAATATGGTTCTAAGAAAAAAAAGTCACAGGACTGTCCTGCTACAATGCTGTATAGTTTTAGATTTCTAAAATTCTGTGTAAAAATATGTCATTGTTAATTCTTATTTTTTAAAAATATTGTTTTATATTTTTAATTTTTTTCTTCATAGTCTGTAGGGACTTAAATGTTAACATATCAATACTTGATGGAAAATACGTGTTCCATGTTATGCCTAAGATGTTTGATACTCAGACAGATAGTGACATTAAGCTCAACTGCCTACATTGTAGGGTAGTAACAATAAGCTTCTCTTCTGGAGGGTTAACAACCTAAGTTTGCAGACCAAAATTAGAGAAAAAGAAGCACTACAAGGACAGTCAACATTTTGGTCCTAGCCTTTTAAGGTCAGTGAAGACTCAGGACATAGGAGAACCTGTACTGTAACATCTTGTAACTCAGTTGTGTCCCAAATTTTCTGATCAAGGAGATTATGGGGCCACAGAGGAAAGTGATCAATGATGTATACTGTGCCTAAGGAGAGTCACATGGAGAAAAAACATTCTCTCAGGCTTTCACAGAGAGCAAATTGGTCAAGCAATGGTCGTGACTCATTCACATGGCTGACACTGACTAAGGGTCTACAAACTGCAGTACAGGGTTTCAGGAGAAATCCTGAGGGGATTTTGACTGACCTTATCAGATACAAAAGCTACATTTCTTGTTTTATAGCTCTTGCTTTATCTTAGTCTTAACCATCTAGCAGAAAAGTATAAAAACAAAGTATAAAAAGCAAAGCCATATTAATATGCTGAGCTGTAAAAGGCTCAAATCAACAGCTTCTGACATTGCCAGTCTTATGGGAAACCAACTACTATTATGAACTTCTGGACTATATTGGATTATTTTGCTGAATTTACACACCTATAATATTTACATGACAATGGAATACCTTCTCTGACAAAACTAAACAAAAAAGGGGGATACAAATGAATGACCATTTTGTATCTGTGTATACAAAATAATTACAATAGATATACAGCTGCATTCTCTTAAATCAATGAATAGAAAGATTTGTTCTAATAGTGTTTGTGGACAGGATATCATGTCTGCATCTTGTACAATGAATAACAAGTAAGACAACTATATGCAATGTATTAATATTGAAATTGTTCTACTAATCTATTTTAAAACGGTCTCATTGCTATTTGTTTCTCAATAAAATTATTGGGAAGAAAGGATTATACAGTCATACATAGTGACAAAGGAGGCATCATGATCACACAGCAAATGCATCTGCTCATTGCCTCCACCTTAGTTCCTCCTTACAGGAAGGCTAAATGCTCAGCTATACAGCTTTCTGGACTGAACTAAGGCTTCAAGACTGCCATACCATGGGAGAGTGAAAGCCAGGAGCACTGGTTAGCTCACAGTGACTTACGTGTTTACAAAATAAAGAAAAACTGGCAAACTGAGTTGTGTATGTTTATGGAACCCAAAGGATCATTCTAAGTAAATGAGAAACCAAAACGTGATCTACAAGTAAATATAAATTCTGGTTTTAATTAAGCCTACGAGAGTCACAGTCTAGGACTCTCACACCACACGACCCTAGAACCAAATGCCTGCACCCCACATGCCAAGCTTGCCCTGCCTGGAGAGAGCTTGGTGTCCCCACAGCCCTGGCAACATGTGCAGCAGGCATATTCACTGCTGTGGAGATCAAGATTCAACTGATGTTCGGACACACAGCAGTACTGCAGCGCCCGCACACACTGCACTCGCTGTGACGACTGGACGCTG